CTGTTTTTTCTTTGATAATAATGACAGGCATGTTAGTCTGATTGTAATAAAAGCCACTAGGAACAGTTTTTGTGAAACTAATCAATTATTGATGTATTTAGGTGTCAATGTTTTACCCACCATTTTTGTGTGAAGACAGATTTATGTCAAATTAGCTTCTGAGCCATCCCACCATAATCTTAACCTTCAACATCTTACTGTCCAACACAGGCCATGAACAAAAACAGTGAAACACTGGGCTGTCTATTTACTTTATTAGTCATGCTCTGGAGTCCTTACCTGAGCAGGTGATCAGAGCCACTTCAGAGTCTGTGCACTGGTTCTGATTCCAGGCAGAGGAGGGGCAGTGCCACAGCGTGGAGTCGTGAGGGCGGCATTTAAATTCATCAAGCCAGTGAGGAGCGGAGTCCCGTCTGGGGCGAGATTCAACAACACGCCCACTCTTCCCACAGTTCAGCTCCTGACAGATCAGACTCACTGTGTCCTCACTCATGCTATTCCAGCACACGTTGCCCCAGGTGCCATTGTAGAACACCTCCAGCTGACCAGAACAGCCCTCGGCCAGTCTCAGCTCCTTGAACTCTGGGGACACACAAGTGGACAGACTGAGAGAACCCTGCTCTGAACTGACACAGACTTCTAGATTAAAGACCTCAGACAGAAACAGCGTGTCTGCTAACTACTGTGACACTAGAGGATTTCATTATCTTTTTTCTCCAAATCAAATTAATGGAATAGAATGTTCTTTTTCAATAGAAAAAAATAAATTACAATCCTAATTGAGAATCTTTGGATTATTATCAAGCACCCTATTACTATTACAGTAATAGTTATTTTCACATTACTGTCCCTGTTCTTGTCTTGACCAGGAGATACTATACAATACTCCTGGTAGTTAACACCCTACTGTATGAAAACGTCATGGTGTGATATGAGTCCTGTACCTGAACACACCACTCCCACATCCTCCTTGTGTCCACAGTCATGTTGTCCCCACCCTGCCGAGGGACACTCCCATAGAGAGGACTCATTCCCCAGGCAGCCCACTTTGTTCAGCCAAATGGTTCCAGTTCCCTGGCTGAAGGAGGCCGGCACTGGAGCACTGAGGGCTGTCCCACACTGGAGCTGCTTGCACACCACCTGAGAGTCTGCCAGGCCCCAGGAGTCATCGCAGACTGTCCCCCAGGAGCCATTGTGATAAACCTCCAGCCTCCCAGCACAGTCGCTTCCTGCCCCAACCAGCCTGAGGGAGCGCTGGGCTAATAGAGAGACAGTGCCCAGTGATATAAACACATATACAGTACATATAAACATTTCTGACAGTTAGTATAGGAGCAGAGAGTCAGAGGTAAAGGGCCAGTGGTCAGAGGTCAATGCAGTACTAAGAGATCACTGTGACCTTTAGTGAGAGATAATTTGCTGTACATGAGCAGCAGATGCAGCAGGGGAAGTAGATGCAGTGCAAGCAGCTTTTACTTCCTGCTGCCTCAAAGACCCTGACTGTCTGCGCGTTAGAAAGGTTGAGAGGGACAGTGTTGAACAACTCCACACACACCTGCTGCTTCACAGGGCCACAGTCTGAAATGAGCAACAGAGATGTCAACACACACTGAGAGCCCTGGAGATACAGAAAAAGGACCAGTTCATACCTGGTGTTACTGAGGAAGGAACAGAGGAAGATGGGAAACCTGTCAAACACACAGAGAGAGAAGGCAGTGTGAGCTATATGTGAATCAAACAAGTTAACATCAGTAATGAAACTAAAATTAAAACAGCACTGATTAATGACAGAATTAGTCAGTATTCTCCCTTTACCTTTGCCAAGTGAATTGTTGCTGCTTTTCAAGTCTGTAAAAGAGAAGGGAGGAGCTCATTACTGTCCACAGGTGTGATGTTTCACCAGTGGAGTGTTGGTTGTCTGTGGGACTGAAAAATAACTTCTATAAACCTTAACCTCTGGATTCTCACTTTCTCTATGGCACAGTACCATGCTTAATTAGGCTCTGGGTTAATGCATTAATTACAGAGATCAGGTGTTAATTACAGTATACTGAGTTCCAGGACAATAATAATTAATAATAATTGCTTACACTTATATGTCACTTTTCTGGATACTCCATTCAAAGTGCTTTAGAGGTAAAGGGGGAAAACCTGCTACCACCACCAATGTGCAGCCCCTACCTGGATGATGTGTGGGTAGCTATAGTGCACCAGTACACTCACCACACACCAACTCTCAGTTAGGAGGAGGGCAGACTGATGAAGCCAGTTCAGAGCTGGGGATTATTAGGAGACCATGATTGGTAAGGACCGGTGGGAAATTTGGCCAAGACATCAGGGTTACACCCCTACTCATTTCGAGAAACACCCTGGGATTTTTAATGACCACAGAGAGTCAGGGCCTCAGTTTTATATCCCATCCAAAGAACGGCACCTGTTTATGGTATAGTGTCCCCATCACTATACTGGGGCATTAGGACCACATGGACAGCAGGGTGTGCACCCCCTGCTGGCCCCACTAACACCTCTTCCAGCAGCAACCTTAGTTTTTCCCAGGAGGTCTCCCATCCAGGTACTGACCAGGCTCACACCTGCTCAGCTTTAATGGGTTGCTAGTTGTGAGTTGCAGAGTGATGTGGCTACTAGCCCTGAATGATCTGAATAACAAATATACACATGATTTTATTCCTCACTGTATTTGTGTATCTACCCTTCTGAAAGAAAATTACATAGCAACCTACTAACCCCTTTTGAGAAATTTAGAGTTATATATGTTGAAAACACACTGAAATGCATTAAGAAAAAAAATTTTACTGGATAGAGTATATAAAACAACAGTTATTCGGCTAATCAGTGTGCTGCTGTGTGTAAGCACATGATTTTTAAACACATGAATCTCACCAGAGCAGATGACTCCTGCGTCCTGTCCATGAGAGCACCCTGCTCTCCCCCATGAAGAGACAGTGCAGTGTGAGAGACGGCTCTCATTACCCCGGCACTCAAACACATCAGCCCATACTGGTCCACTGCCCTGTCCAAACCAGGCCTGTCCTGGTGCTGCTACAGCCTCCCCACAGCCCAGCTGCTGGCAGAGAACACTGGCATCTGTCAGGTCCCAGTACAGGTCACACACTGTCCCCCAGTCCTTGAAGAGCCACTGCAACTCCACTCGGCCAGAGCAGGAGTCTGAGCCGTTCACCAGCCTGAACCCTGTGTATCCTGCATACAGGACAGGGGGAGAGCAGACACAGTGTCACAACACAACAAAATCTCCCTGCAACATCTAGCAGTAACCCTCAACTCTAACTTCAAGTATACAGTAAATCCTCAACATAGTACCACTGATAAATGCGACTTCTACAGCTCTTCACTGATTAAACATCTGTGTGAATTCAGGAGTAGAACAGAGCAGGTCCATGAAATTTGTTACTTCATGTTTCAAAACAGAACTGGATAAGAGACTCAGAGCACCTGTATCAAAAGACACATGCGGTATTGACATTGAGTCAAGGGAGTCAAGAGGGGGGTTATAGAGCAAAGACTGCAGGGAAGGACACACTGCAGATTTATGTTGCAGTGAGAAGGTGACTGGCAGGAGTTGAGGGTTGTCTCTTTCTCCTAAACATCTCTTATTTCAATTAGGAACTACATTAAATAAATAAATGGAATCAATTATCCTGCCCTTACCAAAACACACCAGTCCCACGTTGTTCTCATGTGTGCAGTTCTGTGATGTTGTGGATGACTTTGGACAGGAGAAAATCTGAGATTCGTTGCCCTGACACTGGAGCTCCTCTGTCCAGACCTGTCCCTCCCCCTTCCCGAAATGAGCCCCCTTCAGCACCTGTGAGGGAACCCCACAGTCCAGCTCTCGACAGACAACTTCTGCATCCTGCCAGCCGAAGTCAGAGTCACACACTGAGCCCCAGGTCTCTCCATGCTGCAGTTCCACTCTCCCAGAGCAGATATCACTGCCTCCAACCAGTCTGACCCCTCGATGAGCTGCAATATCAGAACAATAACAGAGATCATTGTCCATGACCAGTCTGACCCTCAATTAGCTGGAATTGGAGAACAATAACAGAGATCACTGTCTTTAAGCAGTCCGATACCTCGATGAGCTGGAATATCACAACAATAACAGAGATCACTGTACGTGACCAGTCTGACCCCTGACAGGCACTTTAGGACTGACAGGCCCAGGGCTGTCACAGCCTGGCACTGCTGGAGCAGGAGTACCTGAACTGGGCACTGACAGACTATGTAGACATGACAAGGATTGTGATTCTCCACATGAAAGCAGATCACAGAGAAAGACATCATGTCATTTAATTCAATGCTATTTTCACACACCTGGGTCTAGCAATCAGCTCTTGGCTACATTGCATTGCAAGACAATTCAGGACCATCAAAGCCTTATAGAGGCCAATCTTTAAACTTAAATCTTTAATTCCCCATCATGAGCATGGTTCAGTATAACCCAGCCCATATTCCAATATGGAAGAGGAGCTAAGAGGTTAGCGGTCCAGTCTTCAATAGCAAAATCATTGAATAACTTGACTGAGCCAACAGAACTTGATCTTGTTCATTTCTATTTATATACAGTACAATTCAGTATTGAGAGCTCAATTCAATTCTTGGCTCATCTATATCAGATTGACAGTTACTCCACCACCAAGAGTCTGCCCCTGGGCCAGCTGGTACTGCAGCTGAACACACAGATTGCTGTAGCACTGAGCTCTACAACACTGAGCCCGAAATATCATGAAAACACATTAAAATACACTTGAAACTGACCAGATCCACTGACAGCTGGAGAGAAGGCAATTCACCCCCCAGCAGACTCTCACCTCACCAGTGTTAAAACAGCAAAGACACAGTGAACTAGATATAAACTACAGCTACAGCTACAGACCATAACCTAGCTGTTTAAACTGACCGACACTAAAGGTACTGGACAGACAGGATGAGCTTCAGGCTTAGAATGACAGAGACAGGATAACTTCCTGTTGTCCTGCTGTACAAACACATTAATAAAAAAGACAAGTTTTCCGGACCTGAAGAGTCATGTGCTAAATTTTTCTTGTCCTTAGTATACAGTAATTATGGAATATAATTATCAGTAAATTAGATCTTATTTATGACATATTTATTGCTTATATTTATAATAACTATATAATTCATACTAATTAGGATTTATTCTCATGTTTATTAAGAATATCACTTGCTAATGGTAGACAGTAAGAGAGAGGGAGCAATAACAGTAGGGAAAAAGTAAGTGAGAGGGATTGGTCATTTATATGGTTTGGATTAAGACAGTGACTGTAAGGAGGGTTGTCAGTGAGCAGGTCTCAACAGGATAAGAGCATTGGGAATGGGAGGATGGAGAGGTGGACGATAATGATGATGAGTTTTAATTATCCTCACTGCTGGAGACTGGAGACAGTCTGTGTCTCTTACCTGAACACCTCACTCCAGCATCAGAGTCACGAGGAAGGGGATAGTGTTTCACTTCAGTTTTACCACAGTCCCTCAGCGCAGCCTCTGACCCCCTGCAGGAAACATCACCCAAAAGGACTGATCCAGACCCTGGTCCAAAGTGAGCTCCTCCTGGTGCTGAAACAGCAGATCCACAGCCCAGCTGTCTGCACACCACTGCAGCATCATCCAGATCCCAGTTAGCCTGAAAAACTGTCCCCCACTCTCCTTTATACTGAATCTCCACTGTCCCCTCACAGGGACTGGCTCCATTCACCAGCCTCACACCAGAACTGCCTGGGGAGAGAGAGAGAGAAGTATTATTAGCATCTCTTCAGGATATTTGGTATATTTATACATATTCAAAACATGTCAGATATTATTTTTTCCAGTTCGACTGGATTGCTAGTACATCTGCTGGTGAACTAGAAACAGGGGACACACGGAAAGTGAAACGCAGAAAACCTAATATCTGCCATTTCAGACACTCAATGTATGTGAGACACTAGAGACTCTACCAGCACAGTGTCTGTTTGTGTGAAACTGGAGAGTCTACCAGTAAAGCGACTGTGTGAAATACTGATGAGTCTGCCAGTACAGTTTTTTTTTCTGCTTTTCCACTGTGTTGTGAAGTTGTTCTGAGAGATTCTGATAAGTAATTACAAATTAAAGCCCTAGAAAAATTGATAGGATATGTTTATACACCTTTAGTAATAGCAATTGTAAATTTGTACTCATGTAACCACTTGTCAAATTACACACCAAGTTAATTGTTTTTTTGTTAATCTGCACCTGTGTTCAATCGATGTGATTCAGAAAATTTCAAACTAAATAAGTTGTTCCTCTTCATCTTAAAGGATAGTGTCAGTAATCTTAGGGATTAGGTATGTTGTGTGAAAAACTAAGAGTTTAAATTTGTTAATTTTGAAGAATATACTTGTTGACTGAGTTTTGAAAAGACAGAGGTTCTTTAGAGGAGATGTTTAGGGACTGGGGTGGTTTTTTACCCTTTGTAATTCTTTTTAAAGAGGGCAAGATCTCATCTGACATTGGAGTGAGAACTTTGATTCTCACTGAAGAGTGAACGAATGCCAAAAACATTAGACTGAGTCCATCTCTCAAGGAAAGTTTTTGTTTTGCAGGAGAACCTGGGTGCGTAGGTAGATGAAGTGAATTGTTTAATTCTGCCAAGACTTAGTTTCACATTTTTCTGTCTGCTCAGCCTGCTTTACTCATACATCCTGGCTCCAGTCTGTTTCTACCAGGGCAGTGCAACAGGTGTTCATATTAAACTATTGAAAAAAGACCAATGGCTCAAATAAACCAAATGGCTCCTACCTGAGCAGAGCAGGGACACTTCCTGTCCAGCACTACAGCTGACTGTCTGTGGAGAACTGCAGTTCACCAGATGAGTCTCATCTCCAGAGCACTGAATACCTGTCAGACACACAGCACTGTCACTGTCCCATACAGAGAGGAGTTATAGACTTGTACTGCAGAGCACGGAATACCTGTCAGACACACAGCACTGTCACTGTCCCATACAGAGAGGAGTTATAGACTTGTAATACAGAGCACTGAATATCTGTCAGACACACAGCACTGTCACTGTCCCATACAGAGAGGGGTTATGTACTACAGAGCACTGAATACCTGTCAAACACACAGCACTGTCGCCTGTCTCATACACAGAGGAGTGGTATATTTGCACCACAGAGCCACAGCCCAGCTGTCTGCAGACCACAGAGGCCTCTCTGTAGCCCCAGGAGTGCTGGAGGAGTCTCCCCCAGGTGCTGTTGTAGTGAACCTCCACCCGGCCATCACAGTGACTCTCTCCTCCTGATAGCCGGACTCCACCGTCTAGAGCTGACAGGGAGGAATCTGTAAAAATCAATAATCGTGTTTATTTTCAGTCACACATCAGTAAAACAAAACAAACTCGCAGAGGGGTTATAAGAAATATTTTTTTTGCAAGATTAACCTAATACATCACAGTTTATTGTGTCTAATAGTAGTGTTTTAAAAACAGTCATAATAATTTTATGAATGGTCTTGCTTATGATGTTTGCTAGGATGTCAAATTCTATCAAATTCTAACATTGCACTTACTCTGTCTTCTTATACTCTACTATATACTCTCTTCTAATACTATAAATATTATATATAAGAATACATAAATATTCACTGGTTGATAACAACTCTGCACATTCTAGTTCCCCTTTCCTTCACCTCAACTGTACTGAGACATGAATGAGGAGGGATGTGACAGCACTGGGCAGGTGAACTCAGCCCTCGTGTGGGGGTTGGGGGAGGAATTGTGCTGGCCAGCACCTCAACAGGTGACTGGATCAATAAAAGGAGCACAAACTGCATTGTTTACATCTGTGGCAAAGAGGGCTGTGAATGAAGAACGTGAATATGGACACACTTGTGTGTTTGGTAACACAGGGCGCTGAAATTAGCAGCAGGGTAGGCTCCTACAGAACAGCCTGAAGAGGCGGTTAATGGAAGGAAAATATAAAGCAGATAAGGATTGAAGAAAAGGTTGGACTTAAGGGTGGTCTTGGGAACACAGTTGTGCAGGAGCTCTGTGGAGATGAGATATGATTATGAGAATAGAGGACAGAGTGAGAGGTGATCATGGTTGTGGTGGAGCTCTGTGGAGATGACAGAAGATTATGTGAAATGAGGGCTGGGTGAGAGGTGACCACAGGTGTGCTTGAGCTTTGTGGAGGTTAGGACAGTTTGAAAAGTGAGGAATGTTTTGTGATTCTGGTAAGAAGATTGCCTTTAATGGCATTTTGAACATTTGTTCTGCTGTGGCTGGCTTGGAGACCCACACCATGTAAATGGATTTGATCGTTTCGTGAGTAAGTAGGAGTAGGAGAGACCAGATTTGACATCCTACTGATCTGTTACTTAAAGCTTTATTAATTCTGAAAATGTTATTATGTGTTGATTCTTACTAGAACAAATGACTCCAGCATCCTGCCCTTGAGAGCAAGCAGCTCTTCCCCATGAAGAGACAGCACAATGAGAGAGACGGGTCTCATTGCCCAGGCACTCAAAAACATCAACCCCTCTTGATCCACTGCCCTGTCCAAACCAGGCCTGTCCTGGAGCTGCTACAGCCTCCCCACAGCCCAGCTGCTGGCAGAGAACAGTGGCGTCTCTCAGGTCCCAGTATTGGTCACACACTGTCCTGTATTCACCACGGTACTGCAGCTCCACCCGACCAGAACAGGAGTCAGGGCCGTCCACCAGCCTGTAACCACTGTATTCTGAAGAGAGCACAGGGGAGTCAGGAGCTGTACAGCATTAACATCACTAGTCTTATACAAAGGTCAGTATGAACACATTATAATCTAATCTTTATACAAGTAACAGTAATCAGGAACTGTACAGCCTGAACACAATGTTCTCTTTATGCAAAAGACAGGGGAGTCAGGAGTTATACTGTATGAATGCAGTGTTAGAAAGGTTGATTTAAAAGTGAGTTGATTGTATAATAACTTCTCATACTTACATATTCTTATTGAATATTAAACTTGAATACACAATAGTAATTATCTTTCGCACTGTGACAATCAAAAATGCATCAAGCAATATGGAAATCACATGACCACAAGACCACTGCCTGCTGCAGCTCGCTGACTGATCCAAAGATATTAGTTTGGGGTGCAATATATGGTGGGCATGAAATGCAAAAGGCAATCAAATAAAAATTGGCAAATTGGCAAGTGGCAAAAACATTCTAAAAAGCAAGAGAACTAATTATCCCACACTGCCCAGAGTGAGATACTGAAGTATTTACATAGGTGGGGATCAGTATAGACAGCAGTGCTCTCACCTGTACAGACCAGGCTGATGTCATTGCTGTGAGCGCAGCTCTGATGCTCCCTGGTTGAGGTGGGACAGTCGTGAATTCTGGTCTCATTTCCCCGACACTGGATCTCCTCTGTCCTGATCAGCCCCTGCCCCTCTCCGAAATAAGCCCCTCTCAGCAGCTCTGCTGGAAATCCACAGTCTAGTTGGCGACAGACGACTTCTGCGTCCTTCATGTCAAAGTCGGCCTCACAGATTGTATCCCAGGACGTCCCTCGCAGAACCTCAACTCTGCCAGAGCAGAGACTCCTGCCCCCTGCTAACCGCACTCCTGACATGTGACAAAGCATTTGTACAATTTTTAACTGTATTATAGGACATTAACAGTATTGTGTGTGTGTGTGTGTGTGTGTGTGTGTGTGTGTGTGCTTCACTAGAGAGAGAAAGACGCTGGGGGTGGGGAGAGGGAGAGGTGTTGCGTGTCTCGCCTGTCTCTTACTCGCCCTCCCCCAGCCCCCCCCCCCTCTCCGGCGCGCCTCGGCGCATAATACAGTATATCAAAGTAAAATAAATTAGGAGAAATGACAATGGTTAGTTTATCTGTATTAAACATTTTTAATCTTTTAAAATTTAAAAGAGTTTGAAGTCATTTGCACTCAATCAAAAAATTTCAGAAGTATTTCAATATGCTTTGTCACATTAGAAAAACCTCTTTCTAACTTGGTCACATTAGAAAAAACTTTTTTCTAATTTAATATAAAGAGGACAATAAAGCTGCAAGGAGGAGGTGCAGAAAGACAGTCAGAGAGTTAGACTGAGGCCTTGAGAAAGAATGATGGAGGACTGAGATCTAGACAGTCAACAGGGGCAGCTTCTGGAATCTCAACAGCAGTCAGAGAAACTGAAGCCTCATGAACATTTATAAACCATTTAATCTACTTCACTACAAATCCAGCTGCCCAACATGTCCATAGCTACAGATGCAGCCATTCAAAACGCACAGGACAAACCCATACCGTGGGCATCTACGTGTGTGCCACCGCGCCCTACCATGGTACGTGATTGGTTGGCCAAAATGACTGACAGGGGCACTCATGGTGCGTTGGTCGGTCGTGGACAGATTTAATCATTTAATCTCTTTACTGTGCAAGTTTTAATCCACTTAGTATTGAATATTTATATTGTAACGCAATGGGGGCTCAGGCGGGCGCCCTTGCCGCATCTGGTCGGCCCCATCCCGACTGGAGGCTCGAACCTGGGACTTCCGCGTCTCTCTGCAGCGACCTAGCCCCGTGAACTAAAGAGAGATCTCTCTACAGCCTAGTAGCTGTAGTCCTGCTATCACAGGGAAGGGCGGTGACATCACCTGCTCTGGTACGCCGGCTCTTACACAGTACCTGTCGGCCGTAAGCGTTACAATATTTAATTTTACCACTAAAGGGAAATTTTAGTAGCTGAGCATAAAAAGAATAGGAGCATAAGCAATATTAATTTAGGAACATAAACATATTATGTAAACTGTATATTGCTGGTCTTGGTATTGAAAATAAAAAAATACACACCAGTATTCCATTCCCCCTAAACATTTTAAGCATCAAAGTCTTACATGTGGTTATTTCAGAAACGTTTTTACGTGCTCCTTGCTCCTTCTGACCATGTTACTGTACGTTTATACAGTATTCAGTACTTTGTGAGAAAAGTGATAGTTTTAAGCTTTTCTGCGAATACGTATACGTTTAGAATTTGATTAATAGGGAATACAATATGGAATCGCATATCTAAAGAAATTAATAATGGTATAACTATATTCATGTAACGTTGCACAAACAGTAGTATAAGACTTTGCATTGATGGACACTGGTCACATGACTGCCTTGGTGGCGTGATTGCTTAAGTGACTGCTTTGTAACCCTGAGGTTAAGTGTTCAAACCGAGCAGTTGCCATCAGTTTTCTTTTAACAAATAAACATTTCTTTGAAAAACGAAAATAGCAAATATTATTGGCATTATATTGACATTTTTTATATATTTTTTATATATCACAACATGTTCGTACTGTATGTACACAGCGGTAGGGCGCAAATTCACGTGAGCCCGAAAGCCCTACATTAATGTGCAATGGTATTCGCATCTCTCTCTCACTCTTTCTCTCTCTGTGTCTACATTGTAAAGAAACCAGTTTCACAGGTATTTTCAAAGTAGAATAAGGGCAAGTCCACCTCCCCCACTCACATGTTTTCTTAGAAAAACAGATTCACAACGCGAAGCTGTATCAGTCTTCTGTGTAAAAAAAAAATAAGTTTGAACACTATGTGTGCTGGTTTTAAGGCGCTGCTGAATAAAGGAGTTTTCCTGCTATCAGTAGGGTATATATTATATATTGGGTATATAGTTGACCCTTACCTGAATTAAAACAAGACATAAAGAAAGGGTTTCAGAAATCAAACAAAGCTTTATTCCTTTGTTTCGTGGTCTGGGTAATTGGAAGCTACGCTGTTATGCTTCCTATGATGATATAAGGGTTTTTCGCACGAAGCCATATTGAGCAGTATTTCTCGCGTTGTGAACGTATGCACACAGCGGTCCGCCGGGTTCCAGTTAGTGCGTAATTACGCATCGATGAAAAACTGGAGGTTTAAAAAAAGAGAATTAGCTCACTGATAGTTTGATGTAGAGGCTGTGAACATTTTCACATGTCGTAGTCTTTAAAATGCATTTGATTTGAAGGCTTTCTGTGTTTCCTTTCCAAAGATATGGACAGAAGAATATTTGAGCGTGGTAAAAAAATGGCTTAAAAACGACATAGTGAAGGCTGTGAAAACAGCCACATGTATTTTGCACGCACACCAAGTGGTTTCGTAACTCTAGGAGTTATCGTGAAAAAGCTACAGTTGTGCCAATTGTAATCGTTTTTATTTTTAAATACATTTTAGAAAAGTGTCATCTTTACAAAAAAGTTGCATTTAATACCACTCGATATTAATATATTTACAGAGATAAGCTCTCTATTAAAGCTCAGATCAAAGATCAAGCACAGATCAAACAACAAAATGTCTTGGACATGATCTGTGATCTGTGATGTGGTTGAGTGTGAATTGTGGTGCTCTAGCAGGCACAGTCTGTGCTGTGCTGAAAAAAAAAAACGGTTGAACAACTCTTAAGCATACTGTAGTTTTGTTAACACAAGTTTATCAGTGAAAAGACCACGGGCATTTTTCCTCCCCCCTACATTCTCAGAGTAGAATAGAATTTATTATTAGCACAATTTATTACAGTGCTAAATTTAATATTATTGATTATTAACAGTTTATGCTAACATCTAACGCGAGAAATACTGTTCAATACGGCGTTGTGCGAAAAACCAGTATATCACCATAGGAAGCATAATAGCATAGCCTCCAATTACCCAGACCACAAAACAAAGGAATAAATGTTAAATGAAATGTTAAAAGAAAACTGAGGACATAAAGAAAAGGTTTCAGAAATCAAACAAAGCTTTATTCCTTTCGCCCAAGTCAGGAGACATTAGAATCTTACCACACCTGGACTGTTACAGTAACACATTAGCAAGTTAAAGCAATTACGTTGAAAAGCCTGGCATAATAATTGTTTTATTCCTTGATGTTCTGATCCTCAAGGCAGTTTGGTCGTGGTGAATGTAGATTCTGTCTGGCATTGCCAGATTGTGAAAAATAAAATATTTTATGAAACACACATTTGCGATTTTAATCAAGATGGGGGTAAGGGAGTCGTCTCTATGACACTCTCCTTTATAAAATTAACGGGAAACAAAACAAAAACTAAAAATAAGATACAATCTACAGACATTCACAACATGTAAATGTTTTATGGTATGTCTATGTTGTGAATGTCTGTAGATTGTATCTTATTTTTAGTTTTTGGCCAGACCACAGCCAGGACCTGCTGGGCCCCACAGCCCCATCCGCACACACCCCAACAAACCCATCCACACACACCCCTACTCCCGCACCTCACCATGCCCGGCCACCACTGCGTCACACCACACAGCTGCCAGCGCACCTCACCGTGCCCGGCCACAACTGCGTCACACAGCTGCCAGCACACCTCACCATGCCCGGCCACCACTGCGTCACACAACACAGCTGCCAGCACACTGCACCATGCCCGGCCACCACTGCGTCACACCACACAGCTGCCAGCGCACCTCACCGTGCCCGGCCACCACTGCGTCACACCACACTGCTGCCAGCGCACCTCACCGTGCCCGGCCACCACTGAGTCACACCACACAGCTGCCAGCACACTGCACCATGCCCGGCAGCAGTAGCTATTGCTACTGTCTGAGTGTCTGTGTCTACATTGTTTGTAAACAAACCGGTTTCACAGGTATTTTCAACCCCCAGCCACTGTTGTTTCATCAGTTGTTATCCTGAAAAGTGCTTTAAGAATCCACCATTAAAAGGCGCTATATAAAATAAAGTTTATTATTATTATTAATATTGATAATATTCTTCCTCCCAGAGCTTGTAAATTGTTGTTGTTATTGTTGTTATCCTGTAAAGCGCTTTGAGAAGCATACAATCTAGCATATTGTATTTCATTGCACTTTGACAGATGTGCGTCTTATATTCACTTGTTGTCAGAATATCCCCCCCTCCAAAAATCCTTTTTTTTGTTTTTCTTACAATAGTACTTCTCGTGTTAAGAAAGTTAGGTGTTAGCATAAACTATCAGTAATCAATAATATTAAATTTAGCACTGTTATAAATTGTGCTAATAATAAATTCTATTCTACCCTGAGAATGTAGGGGGGAGGAAAAATGCCTGAGGTCTTTTCACTGATAAACTTGTGTTAACAAAACTACAGTATGCTTAAAAGTTGTTCAACCAGTTTTTTTCAGCATAGCCAGTGGACTGATCACAGTCCCAATGTGTGAGATCTTGCTGTTTGATCTGTGCTTTATCTTTGATCTGAGCTTTAATAGAGAGCTTATCTCTGTAAATATATTAATATCAAGTGGTATTAAATGCAACTTTTTTGTATAAAGCTGTATTTATTTAATACCACTTGATAGTTATATTAATAGAGATAAGAATTCAAGTTGATACTGTTTAGACTTTTGATTATTTTTAACTGTATTACAGCATCGTACACATGCTTAGAAGAGAGAAAACGCAATGTTTCAGCTGTGAAGTCTTCTTCTGGCGTGAGGGTCTTCTGATCAAAATGAAACACTAAAATATAGTGTAGGCTCTGAACGGGTTCAACTATGATTTGGGCTTATTTGCCCTCACACCTGAAGAAGGATTCACAGCCGAAATGTTGCAGTATTGTATTGCAGTAAATGTTTATATT